TCAGAATTTTAAATTGGTCTGTCATTTGGTAATTAGTTGTTTAGAACTTGATTGAATGAAGAAATGATTAAACATCATAACAAAATTTAATTTAGTTACATGGTTGGAAGATCTATCATTAATTAGCAATGATCTGGGTCATAGTTAATTAGGATAACCTAATTGTCAATTGATCGGCAATGAATTGAAGATTCAATTTCTCTTAGAACTAAATTAAACCACGCAAGGAAATAATCATTTAATCATCAATCCATAACAATCAGAATTAGTAAACATTCAGACAATTAAATTGGATTAACGAGAACACTAAATGATTAAGATTGAAAAGGATTTTAAGGTGATTATGATTAAAACTAATTGAAATCATCTTCTTATTGTATCTTCTCATCTTTTGCTTGGTTGCATTAGAATCATGATTAAGTTTAATTCAGTTAATTGTTCCTCTTATTGTAACAATTTTTATTTGTAGGATGAGCTGATTCTTTTTTTTTCTTTAGGCTAAAGATCAAAACCATCATCATCATTGACAATTAATCGATTACAATGGATGATTCTTGTGTTCTGTTAATCACTAATCATCATTAATTAGTTAATTGTTGTTCCATTCTTATGATCCAATTGAGGAGAGTCTATTTTAGGAAGGTAACATCTATCGTCCATCTTCATTTCATCTTAATCGTGATTTCTGTCAACATCAAGTTCAATTTTTCGTAATTCGAGTTAATTTTTTTCTTCTAAATTTGTTTCTTAATTAGTTCAACACTCGATTCAAGGATGAGTGTTAATTGTCATCAAATTAAATCACAGATTAATTATCATTCTAGAGAAGTGATGTTTTTTGCTTCTCTCTTGATTGTTTCCTCTCTCATCTCTGGAACCATTGGTAAAAATAGTGAACCGATAATTATTATTCTCGGCCCTCCAGGGGCTGGTTTACCCTCTTCCAGCTCTTCGGGTGCCGGTGGACCTTTGGGACAGATTGAGGCTACACTGTCTGATCGGGATTCTTCGGGTTCTTCAAGGTCAACTTTTAATCTTTTCCGTTCAACTTCATCCGACAAGAAGGATGAGAAAAAAGGACCTCACATAATTTTCATCGGTGGATCAGCATCAGGTCCAATGAATAACGGTAACAATGGACCTATGATGGGATCGATGCAAGGTCCACCCTCTTCACCAGTGAATCATGGCCAAGGTCAGAATGGTATGAATATCGGTGGAATGAACAGTTTCATGACAAATTCAAATGTTAACGGCAACGGATTTGGCCCAGGTACTGGTTCGAGTGTTGGTTCACCTATTGGTGGACTTTCAACTGGTCCCATGAGACGAGGGTCAAGTAGCCCCGGTGTTAGTGTTACCAGTTCAAGTAATAATTATTTACCTTATCCAATGTCCAGTGGGTCAATTAATTCACCGTCTATGGTTTCTAATTATCCTTACATACCCTACGTAATGGGCGGTGGTGGTTACAGCTCACCAACTAATTACCCACCGACGGGCTATGATTACAATGATTACGTTTGGAATGGTTGGAAAAGATAATCAAATTAAATTGTATACTTTTTACAATTCAATCTTTTAAATTGTGATTCCAAATATCACTTTAATATAATAATAGAAATCAAAACTACCAGAGTTTTATTTATTCATTTACATTAATATGTGAGGCGATTTTACTTTTGCCGTTGATCTAAAATAAAAAAACTCGAGAAAGTCATCAGTCCACATCTGATTTACGGACTTAAATGCAAATTTTAGGTGAAGCACCAAATTATTAATAATATTCAAGGTCACCTTAGAACTGCCTCCGGCGATAAACTCAATTGAATTGGTACATCAATACAACAACATGTTTGTTTCAATGTAATAATTTTGTTAACTTAAATAAATTTTTACTCTTCAAATAAAACGATCAACTAATTATTTGCAATGATAACGAAAAATTAAATCACTTTGGAAACATTGTTAAGTCGTTAATCTGATCTTGGTCTTCATGCTTCAGTTAATCATGATCACTCTTAACAATTAAGTTTTCTATGGTAATGGTGATGAAACAATTTACGAATATAAAAGATCTGAAAGGATTTACAATTTAGATTATTACAATGATTATTCAATTGGTGGATTTAGATTGGAAATTTTTTCACCAATCAAACGGATTAAGATCCGTTTAAATGATTTTTGTACTTTTAAGTCAACAATTAACGATGATAATCAACAATCAATTGATTATAAATTCGTTCGTTGCATTGGGATCATTTTACCAGTCCAACAAATTTTTGATAATCTACAACAATTTGATTCTAAATTTATATCAAGCCAATTAACTTCTCAATCACAATCATTTCCATTGACTGATTTAACTGATATTGGTTCACATATTAAATTGTTGGTATCAATTGATCAACAATCAACAGTGGAAACTAATCTATGGGGATTAAGAAGTAAATTAAGATTTAATCAACACGATAATTACAAGAATTGTCAAATGATTAAGTTTTCTGGATACGCGATTAAGGTAAATACATTTATACATTTACTTTACAATAGAGTTAATTGTTTGCTTTCTCTGATTGCTAATTCTTAATTTTGATTATTCACAGAAAGGTTATAACTTCTCAATCACTTTAATCAAATCAAATGATCGTTGGTTTATCAATGGTTTTTCCAATTGGGGTATTACATTGGTGTTCCCAATTGTGATTGCAACTAACTCTCAACAATTAATTGATGGAGACGAGAAAATTAATCTTATCCTCGGAAACAAATATCGCTTATTCAATGTAATTGGTAATCAAATTATCAACAGTCAATCATTTTACTCGATCACAATTGATGGCTGTCCAGGGATCGCTCATTATATTAGATTACAAGTAATCAATTAACAGCTTTAATTACCGCTAATTATGGTCTCGGCGAGGTAAATTAATTTACACACTAAATTACAATTTCACAAACTAATCGTTACTATTTTATAATAATGACAATAATAGAGTATCGTCTCATCAAAATCTGATCCTGATACAATTAGAGTCAAATAGGAAATATCTTCAAATGGATTAACAATTAACACAATTGAAAATATTGAAATTGGTGCTAAAGAGCAGATAATTAAACTTAATCCATCGGGTGACGGGACAATTACAATTGACTCACAATTAAGTGAATCAATTTGTTGTCTCAATGAGAATCAAATAATCAACTTAACCTCAACATGTTTAAAGGTATAATTGTTTATAATTAAGTAGAAAAAGTTAATTGTTAACAATGTAACTATTTTTAATTTCTTTCTTGGTCAATATAAAAGTTTGCATCTTATTTCAATGGTCCAGTTGATATCGAATGGGGATTAAGATCAGATGAAATTTACTTGTTCCAATGCCGACCAGTGACCAGCTCATCTTCAAGTGAATTAACTGATTGGGAATTAAGTCATGAAATCGATTCGGCTCATGTTAGCTCTATTTAGGAGCCTATTCGAGCCAATTTAGGAGCCCATCCCGGAACTACCTCATATATTATCATATATCATATCATATCTTTGGTCTCATCAGAAACATCGCATTGTGTGAGGCCAACATTGTTCCGCTTCGTGAACATTTTGTTATACAAAAATTAGCTGCTGTGCTCGAAGAAGCCAGCATAACTGCTCAATCCTATGACATTGGCGGAGGAATAGTTTCACCTGTTGATCCTAAAATTGAGACCATAATAGAAGAAGTCACTTCGACTACTGTAACACGTATACGTAATTGTGTAACAGTACTAATGGTTCATCAGGATCATCATCTGCTGCTGCTTCAGGTTCATCTACTGGTTCAGGATCTGCTAACTCAGCATCATCAGGCTCATCAGGCGCATCATCATCCGGTTCATCATCAGGTTCATCAGGAGCTTCTTCCGCTTCTACTGCCGCTAACTCAAATTCATCATCATCAAGATCTGCTAATGGTTCATCACGATCATCATCTGCTTCTACCGGTAATGGCTCTGCTGCTGCTTCAGGTTTATCAACGTCTGAATCCATCGTTTCGTCATTTGTCAACCAGTCTGGTCAAAACTGTTATTGTTTCGCTTGAATTCTACTAAATATGTAAACTGATATTAAAGTCAAAAAGAATAAGTAATAAATTATCAATATAAATTTTATGTTCTGTCGGTGAACTATGATTGTGAATTAGTAACGCAGCGAAGTAGTAGTTAAATAATAATTCACGATTCACGATAGGACGTCACTAATTCGGCTTGAAATCTTTCTAATTGTCGAATATAAAGTAATGCTCTGACCAGGTTCTAATAGTTCATAATGAACACAACCATAACAATACCAACAGATACAAATTAGTGTTTTCTTCCCGTGAATCGAAGGTTTGGGTGTCGCTTTTGGTGTCTGATCTTTGTCTAACCAAAGGCTGAGTAGACTAGCTTTACAATACACTACCGGTAAGCTACCAGTTTACTCATGACCTCATGAATAAACTGGTAGCTCATCATCTTTTTATTCATTTTGATTTAAATTGTTCTAATTATTACCTTTTTTTATTTTATTATGTACAATGTTATTTACAGCCACAATGTTCGTGGTGACGCAAATCTTTGTCAGAACCCAATCAATTTCTTATCCAGCCGAAGAAAACAATTCATTTGTGGGTTCCAGGAAGTGGCTTCATCTTTTGTGGAAATGAAACTGAATGGATCCGGTGCTTCTTCACAGTTTGACTCCACAAGAGCATATGATTTTCCAAGGACCCATTGGTTCGGTTCTAACAGAACGGCGACGGCCCACGATATGAATGTACTTATTTCCGAAGCAACTTGTCTCCTCAAACAGTGGATATTGGACCAGAATGTTTTTACAATGCTGCCATTTTTACTCTTGGAAAATTTAAATTAGGTTATATGAATACGTACCACTGGCCAGACCTTCCATGGTATGAATGGTTACCGAAAGTTCAAGCTGAACTCGATTTTTTGACCTTTGAATTCGACCGCCGCAACTTCGAGGTAAAACCAGTGAATAGATTGATTTTGGTTGGAGACTTTAATATTGAAATTACTTTCCTATTATTAGGTATCCTCAAAAGTTTCTGCACTCTTTTCATTGATGATTTTTTTAGTCTTAGATATTAGAAGATAATCATTTTCCTATGATTAAATTGATACCATTTTAAAGCTTAGAACTTGCTCTTTCGAATGATACTAATTTTATTAATTTCGGACTATTCAATTAATTACAATTAAATTTTTAGTGACGGTCTTTTTTACCGAGTTTTGATGACTCATCTTTGAGGTCACTTTTTCCGTCAATAAAGTGACCTGAATTTTTTTTAATATGATTAACATGTGGTCCTAACATTGAAATTATTCAGAAAAAAATTTGGTTGAGTTTGCTCAAAAAAATCATCAATGAAAAGAGTGCAGAAACTTTTGAGGATACCCGATATCTACGTAAAGTTTCGATTCTTATGGTGTTCCAATTCCACCCATCGATAGAAACTGTTGAAGCAAATGCTATCGATGTTGATTAATTGAATTATTATTAATCAATTATTATTATTATTATTTAAATACAAGTCAAGTTAATCAAAAGTAAACAAAATTTTAAGTTGAGTTACAGAGAACGAGAAATGGTTAAGATTAATATCTTCTTTCTTTTCTGATTATTAACTGTCCATTTCACCAATTTGCTAATTGTTAACTTAATTGTTTAATCAAGGATATGACAATTAAGTATGAATCTAATTGTTGTTTTGTCTACTATTTAACCTTTAATCATATTTAATTCAATTAGAATAATGTTTCTGATTCGTAATGATCAATCCATTCAACAATCTTTATTTACAACAGGTTATGGGCTCAGTTTGTGTTTAATATTAATATTAGTTGACCATGGAGATTGACAACAAAAATATTAATATCGAAAAATTGAATTCGAAAATTGGTCGAATTGGAGATTCAAGATTGAACTTATTCTCAAGGAGAATGATTTGTACGATACTTTTAGAGGTAAAGAGACTTGTAACTCTACCAAAGGTAAAGCGAGTGACTATCCAAAGAGATGTGATAAAGCTTTTCGTCTTATTGCTTTGTCTGTTAACGATCAATATCTTGGTATCTTAAGAAAAGCTGAAACTAAAGCTAAATCATGGAAATTATTATGTGATCATTTTGATCTGATAGGCAAACTCATATTAATAATTTGGTTGATTTACGTATTCAGTTAGAAGCTGTTGGTCACAAAATACAGTCGACGATGTTAACTATCGTTTTACTGGAAAGTTTGCCGAAAAATTTCGAGGGTCTAGTTATTGCTCTGGAATCACAGAAGAGATTCAATTGATTTCAATTTTGTTTGCAATCGTGTACTTGAAGAGTATGAGAGACAAAAGTCGAAAAATAATGCTAACGAAGATGAGAATTCAGCTCTCAACAAATCATTTAAAAGTAAACCAAAGAAATTTAAAGGTAAATGTTTCAAATGTGGTAGAATAGGTCATATTTCAAAGGATTGTCGTGTTTATGTTAATAATATTGATAAATTTGAAAAAGAAAAGAAAGACAATGACGATAAACCTAAAGCTAATAATGTCCAAAAGGAGTTAGAAGCTCTAATGGCTTATCATGTGTCTGTTTCTGGTAACGGTTAGTTAGTTGATTCTGGAGCAACTAATCATATGTGTAATAATATTAATTTATTCACCAACTTGACTGAAAGTGAAGCTAAATCAGTAACTCTTGCTGATGGAAATCGAATTAAAATTCACGGTGAAGGTGATATTATTATTAAATTGCCCGGAATAGAAAAGAGAATCAAATTAACAGGGTGTCTATTCGTAACTAATTAAGACATAATTTACTTTCTATTTCGAAAATGGTTGAAAAGGGAGTTAAAGTTATTTTTGAAGATGATTCTGTTCGTGGCTTTCGTAATAGTAATATTATTTTTGTTGCTCGAAAAGAAAATGGAGTTTTCAAAATTGATGATCAGCCAGAGAGTAATATTGTTACAAATGAGTAAAGCGGTAAGGCTGAGAGACTGAATCGTACCCTACTGGACATTACGAGAACATTACTCAACGGAGCAAATTTGAGTGATGAGTTCTGGGCTGAAGCAGCTCACGCAGCTAATTATTTGTTAAACTTGAGACCGTGTTCAAGTATTGATTTCAAGATGCCTTATGAAATCTGGTCAGGTAATCGAGCTGATTACGATCATCTCAAGGTATTTGGTTGTATTTGTTTCGTTCATATCTCGAAAATTTTTAGGGATAAACTTGGTAATAGATCGAAGGAGCAACTATTTGTTGGTTATAGTGACGACCACGAAGGTTATAAGGTCTATGATCAGGAGAAGAAAAAGGTATTCGTGTCACGTGATATTGTTTTCAAGGAAAATGAGTTTCGAAAAATTGAAGATAAAACGCTAATATTAATAATATTAATATTAATGATTATCCAAATACTTACTCTGAAGCGATGATGAGAATCGACTCGCAGAGATGGAGAAGCCGCTGAGGAAGAGATTAAATCGTTGAGAGAGAAGAAAACATGGGTCGCGGTTGAGAGAGAAGAGAAAATGAAACTCTTTGGTTGTAAATGGGAATTTACTATTAAAACTGATGGTCAAGGTATCATCGATCGTTACAAGGCTCGTTTGGTTGCAAAGGGATACACTCAATTGGAAAATATTGACTATCATGAACTTTTTCTCCCGACTCTAAAATGACATCAGTCAGGGTGGTTCTGAAACTGGCCATGATGAATAATATGATCATCAGACAATTGGATGTTAAAACTGCTTTTCTGAATGGAATTGTTACTGAAAATCTTTACATGAAACAACCCTAAGGGTTTGATGATGGTAGTGGCCGTGTTTGTAAACTTGAGAAAAGTTTATATG